GTCCCTTATTTTTATTTTTTTTACGCATACCCTCTAATTATATTTATTACTTGTTTATATACTCCCAGTAAAAATTTCAGCTCATTCTATAAACGGGAACCCGTGCCGACTTGCATCTAAACCCTCTGCGCGGTATTTTGTAACACGAAACACTTTAAAAAGAAGATATACTTCATGACTGTATTTTTCTAATGATTTTATTAAATATGATTACTAATTAATATTTTTGCTTTTGTTTCTATCATTTGTTTCAATAATTTAGTTGATTTTATCCCTTAAATATATTAATATACTAATTAGTATTGCTAAAATATACTGTTATATGAAATTTCAGCTTTTTATAAGCATTTCTTTTCTTGATGTCCTCCAAAAAATATTTCAGACAGTTCAATAAGTTTTCAGTAGTCATCTCTCACAATAGACTCTTTTAGTTATTTAGAGTAAAACCCATTAAGTTTATCAATTTCAAAGTTTACGGCCTATTCACCAGACCCTTCCGGGTAACTAGCCACTCCCTGTGAAAATATACATTTTTATCAAAGTATACACATAAATAAAACTATATTTTAACGTTTGTCAATAATTTATAATATAAGGGTCACATAATAACAAATACAAAATGACTTACGATCGAAGACCTCGCGACCAACCGTGTTACAAAATACCGTGCGCCTAACGTTGCAACGTTGGCTAACGGAGGGTTCAGATGCAAGTCGGCACGGGTTCCCGTTTATAGAATGAGCTGAAATTTTTACTGGGAGTATATAAACACGTACCTAATAAATATAATTAGAGGGTATGCGTAAAAAAAATAAAAATAAGGGACACCCTAATGTAGGTATAGTTTAAAAATTATATTTAATTTTATTTATTGTGATGGGTTGGTTGGTAGGGTAGGTATACCCAACCAACCGACCCAAATACTAAAGATTTTGCCAACCGTGTTTGGATTTGGAACCAACTGCCAAGACTTTGGGGGGGGGTGACTCCCCCCCTACACCCCCCTTAGGCCCGGCCCTGCGAGTATGTATTTCTGTAAATGTATCTTATTTAAAAAAGATTATATTTTTAATACGTTAATGAAATATTGATATACATTTTATGATTGGACTCCTGAAAAAATAAGGTATTATTACGAATTATTTATGGGTTTAAACATTAAATACAAAGTGTGGAAAAAAAAATAATTTCCTCGTAAAACCAATATTCAATGCCATTGATTAAGCTGGCGCTCAAAGCGAAACTTTTTTTATAACCTTTTTATCAAGTTTAATAATAAACTAAACAATGCAAATTTTACTCTGTTTAGATAATTGTATAATTCACATAGAGTAATTAGATTTACATCGTTAATATATACGTTGATTTAAAGTACTTAAAACATGGTAAAACCTCCATTTTAAAAGTTTTAGATTTACTTCGCAGTGACTGCAAATTTACACAATGTATTAGCACTAAATTTGGCAAAATACAGGTTGCGCGCACGACTACCTGACAACACGCGAACAATATGACATTTTTTCAACCCTGTCTTTATCCGTTTTACAATTTTTTTGTTGTTTCTAAGGTTTTAAATATTTGGGAATATTTTGCTATGTAAATAAACGAATATTATTGTATTCTGTTTTTTTTTACTTCTGTCGCCGTAAATACCTCATTTTGCCTTACGTGCGCCGGTAGATTCCCAAGTTAGAAAGTCTAATGGGAATTCCAATAAATAAAACTGCCACTTTTGGTACTTTTAACATTTTTCCTGTAAGAATTTTTAATACTTTGTAATAATATTTTGCAATTATAGTAATAAAAAAATCAAATGATAAAATATGTTCTTAACATAATCATATTATTTTAATATTTTAAAGTATCAATAATTGAAAAATGTAATTAAAATTGATAACGGGCAATGTTAATGGTTACAATTACGTCAAAAATGTTTATTGTTACTTTATTTTCGTATAGAGGTCGCTTTATGCAAATATTTAATTTAAATCATTTTTCAGAAAATTATTTATCGTAGAAAAAGTATAGTATGCAACTCGTTTATAAACTTTTCTAGTCACTCATTTAATTAAACACTCGCTCGTGCCTAATTAAAATTCGTGACTAAAATGGCGTTTATCAACCTTGATACATAATATACTATCAATCTACTATCACCATATTTTTAAATAATTTTTTCATGTAAAATAATAAACTTACTGTTTATTTAAGTGTACAGTTTTCATATATGTATGTATATTAATAAAAAATGCTTAACCTTGTTAATAAACTGTAATAAAAATGTAGACCTATGTCCGCGTTTTTTTAGTATGCATGTACATATGTACTTGCATATTAAAACCTTGTAATATAAAAGTATACCGTAAATTGTCAATTTTATTATTACTTAGTTTCGTAATACTTTCTAAATTTGGCGAAATTTAATATATTAAGTTACCTAACATTTTGTACATAAAGAAATATTGACATGAATATAATATACAAGGTCTATTAAAAATTTGTTTTTTTTTTGTATTCAACCTACTCTAAAAATTCTTAACAATAACATAAACCAGACCTTTTTTAAACACCCTGTATAGCGGACACTGTAATTTATTGAAAGTAGGAATTTTAATATCAAAACAACGATTTAATAGTTTAAATCGTGATTGTGCTGAACAAGCACAAGTGAAAGTTTCGCAATTCTTAGGTTTTTTGCCCAAGTGCAGTTTGCCTTGTTTTATGTTAGGATATTACAAAATATCAATGGACAAGTCATTAACTCGTATAATTATTGTTCAATTTTTAAATTAAACAATTAAAAATCGATAATAATTATAATTATATAATTATTTTTTATTCATGTATAAATATGAAAACCTCAACTTAAAAAGTATACGAGGTGTGTTCAGAAAATATCGGGAATTTTAGTTTTTTGAAACAAATATTTATTTATTCGTCTACATTAATGTTGTCGCCTTCAAAATAGTCTCCATTGGATTTTATGCACCTGTGCCAACTCTTCTTCCAATACTCGAAACACTTCTAAAACTCGATCTTTGGGATAGCCTGTAGTTCTTTCAGCGATGCGCTTTTAATGTCATCTATACTTGCAAAACAACGGCCCTTTAAGGCTCTTTTTATTTTTGGGAATAGGAAAAAGTCAGACAAAGGCATGTCTGGCGAATATGGAGGCTGGGGCATCATTACAGTATTGTTTTTAACCAAAAATTTTGTTCAAAATTTAAAAATTTTGGAACAAATTTTGCTGCCACGCGTTTCATACCCAAAACATTTGAAAAAATTTCATGGGATGGGCCAATCGATATACCAACATCATCAGCGACTTCTCTGATGGTTTATAACCATTTCTTCCACTTTTTCCATGTTTTTATCGGTTGTTAATTTGCTTGTGCGTTCGGGGCGTTCGTCATCTTCAACGTCTTCACGGCCATCTTGGAAACTCTTATACCACTTGTAAACTCTTGTTTTACTTATAGCAGACTCACTATAGGCCTTTGTTAACATTTCAAAGAATTTATTTCATTTTTTAAGCAAAATTGGATACCAAATTCTTTGATCCATTTCTTTTAACGAACGAAAATCGCCGAGCTCATAAAACAAGTCTAACCTTAGCGGCTGCCACAGACAAAGTAAACAATGAAAACGCCTAAAGTTTTTATCATACTTCGGGGGCCTGTATATCAACATAATAAATAAAATTTTATGACAACCGGACCTTCCGAACAATAATTTATTTAACTACCACCACAGATTATAAAGGACTACCACAAGGAATTTAAAGCCATAAAATTGGCTAATATTTTATCTGACATATGACAGCTGTCAAGTATTAATAACCTCACTTTTTTCCAATTTTTAACTTAAAGCCAACTTCAGCCCATGGGCGAAGTAAAATTTCGCCCACCGGTTAAAGTTAAGAAATAAAATGAGTTGAATAATAGTATATTGTGTGACTCTTTACAAATATTTAAATTAATTAGTTATTAATAATTAATTTTGTATGATAATTATTATTATTATTAATATTAATGTTTGTCGTAGAAAAAGTATGGCAAATCGTTTATAAACTTTTCTAGACACAGGGGTTTATCAAACTTGCTACATAATATACTATTATTTTAAGGAAATTAGGGATAGAACGATATCACTTTTTTTTGCCGATACGATATATCGGCCGATACCGATATTTACGTGCCGATATACCGATATACCGATATATCGTATCGGCAAACATAATGCCATCTATTTATACACGACCGAAGCAAAAATCGGGATAGTCCCGTTTTAATTCCGTTGCGAGGAAACGTTTGTGATTGGTAGTGAGTGACATTTCGGATTTCTGGGAAGCTCCTTATACAGTGTGTATTAAAACGAATAGATACACTTAAATAAAACAAGTGCCAAACCCCGCCCACTGTGGTAGGGATTGAGAATTTATAGGTTTTATTTTTATCGAATTCGTTTGTTTTGTTTTAATGCATTTCTGCCTAAAAGAAATAGACTAAATGCAGATAGGGCTGAAATGTTGGTGTTTTTGCATCATAATATCAAGAAATTAAATTTTAAGTATTAAGTATATACTGTATTTAGTACCTGCTACATTAGGTATATTTGTTGTAAGTGGTGTTAGGATTTGTTTTACTTTTTTAGTAAAAATGTTACCTTTAGAATAAAATTTTTTATTTTGTTTAATAAAGTATTTCATGCATTGAAGAGTGAAAAGCGCAATTTTTTTTTGCCGATATATCGGCAATTATCTTGCCGATACGATACGATACCGATAATCGGAAACAATTGCCGATATGCCGATATACCGATATCAATATCGGTATCGTTCTATCCCTAAAGGAAATACATTATTATCATTACCATTTCGAATTTTTTATCAATTTTCTGGGGTTCCTGTAGTTTACAGGCTTCAAGGTGGTGCGCGACTTTTAAGACACCCTGTATACATTGCTGTAGTAAAAACCCACAAAATATTTTTTTTGTTTTAGGCAAATTGCAACAACCAAATTCGAGCCCACCTATGCAAGACAAGCATTTCCATGTTTCGATGAGCCCAATTTAAAAGCAACTTATAGGGTTAAAATTCTAAAACCTAAAGATAGCAATTACATAGCTCTATCCAACAACCCTCAAGAGGTAACCCAGCAAACACAACCGTAAAGGTTCTATAATGCCCCTTTATAAACGTGCCTTTAATGAACTAAAGGCCCTATAAAGGCCATTTGATATAGCGCGAGGTTCTGATATGGCAGATTAAAGGTACAAATGTCGCAAGCTAATGTTTCTGGTATGGGATGTTAAAGATTCTGTAGTGGTTATTTAAATATTTTTTAATGGATAAGTAAATTATCTATTATTGTGGATTGTGGTAGGTATATATTTCTGACGGTCGGAATAAAAATATCCGATTATCGTGGAATATCTGACCCAATATACAGGGTGTCCCAGAACTCAAACCACAGAGAAAAAGGGAACGTACCGAAAGTAATTTGAAACACATATTTAAAAATTCAAATTGTCCAACGCAAAGGATAAGGGAGATAAGAATAAAAAACGATAGCCAATCCCAATAGATCACCACAGGGAATTCTTTAAATTGCTAGGATACTTAGGTTGCATTGTTGATAATAAAAAATATGTAAAATATTTGGTCCACTGGAATCCAATTCATTGTAATACTGCTGTCAATCTTTACTTCTGTCATTAATATTATATTTGGTTATAACACAGTTATAAATTAAGTTATTATAAATAATGTTTTCCTTAGATGATTATACCGAAATGATAATTATTTATGGGGAGTGTGGGCGCAACGCCAGGGAGACAGCGAGAGTTTTTTCCCAGCGCTTTCCTGATCGTCCCCTGGACAGTAAAGTAATCCTTAGAACTATCACAAGAACCCGAGAGACCGGTCAAGTTGTTCCGCTTCGTAAGGGGATTGAAGGTGCTCCCAAACGTATTAGAACAGTGGAAAATGAAGAAGCTGTTTTGAATGCGTTTGAGGAAAATAGTAGGAAGAGCATAAGGGAAGTTGCTCGAGAACTGGGTATTTCCCGCTCCACAGTTCAGCGGGTTATGAAGAACGATCGGCAACACCCTTTTCATTTTACCCGAGTGCAGCACCTTCAGCCGGAAGATTATCCCGCTAGAGTCGAATTCTGCCTGTGGTTTCTGGAGCAAGAAAATCTCCAGCCAAATTTTGTTTCTAACATTATGTTTTCGGATGAGTCAATTTTTGCCAGACAAGGATGCTTCAATGCCCATAATTTACATGTATGGGCAAATGAAAATCCGCATGCTATATTCCAAGGGGGGTTCCAACATCGATTTTCTATTAATTTTTGGAGTGCTATAATAGGAGATCGCGTTGTATGTAAACTATTTAGGTTTTCTTTTTTATTCTAATTTGGCCATTTTCCTCTAGGTTGGACCTTTTGAATTTCCTGCACGGTTAACAGGCCAAATTTATGCAGACTTCTTAGAAAACAATTTAGAGAATTTGTTAGGCGACGTGCCACTGGTATTTCGAGTAAATGAATGGTTGCAGCACGATGGGGCACCACCACATTTTAGTCGCAACGTTCGGCGAATCTTGGACGGGCAGTATCCTGGCCGATGGATAGGACGAGGTGGGCCACAAAATTGGCCTGCTCGTTCACCCGATTTAAATCCCTTGGACACCTTAAAAACTTTATTTATAGTGTACCCATCGAAACAGAGGATCAGCTTAGGAACCGCATCCAAGACGCTTTTGCGACGGTTACTCCTGAAATGGTCATGGAGTCAAAATCCAGTCTTTTAAGAAGAGCGCGGATTTGTTTACAATTGAATGGTGTACACTTTGAGCACTTATTGTAAACAAATTAGCATATTTTTTTTATTTAGTTGTTAACACATTTTCATAATATTTAATTTAGTTTTACTTAATGTTGTTTGTTTACTTTTACGGAAATTTATAGTTTTTGTAATTTTTTAAAAGTTTGTTTATTTGTTTCTGTAACATGACTTTTTCTAAAATTTTAACTAGAAAAGCCTAAAAAATTACAACTTGTTTGATTTTTTACTTTAAAACGTTGTCGTTCTGAGGTATCAGTCATTTTTGACAGCTTTTGACAACTTAGTAAATACAGTCGGCCAAAAGATTTTTAAAAGTTTTAAGACAACAATGTTCTATCGTCTCCTAGCAATTTTTAAATCCCCTACGTTTAATCTAGGCAAGAGCTCTCGGTATTGGCTGCCACTTTTTTGCTTTAATTCGCTTACACTATTACCTAGAAATTTTTTATTTTTAAATTTGGCATCTCCATTTCTGTCGGCACGCCCCCTTTTTCTCTGTGGCGCGAGTTCTGGGACACCCTGTATAAACAAACCACATTTAATCCACCATAATAAATACTTATCCATTACATTAATAAATATATTTTCGTGAAATGTAATACTAAAATATTCATATTCACCAATCTTTATAAAATTTTGGATAAAAATACCCTATAAAAAATAACTTATATCTCAGTTTACGTGTTCAAGGGTTTTTCGTAAGTAATATCATAAGGGCATCTAATTTTTCCGAAAAAAATCGAAAAAACACGTTGCTAAGTAATATTTTAACAAGAAGCATGAGTGCTGGTGGCAACAAAAATCCGAGTCGAAGAGGAGGATTTTTGCACCTGCACGAATGCATTTTGTTAAAAAATATTACTTAGCATTGTGTTTTTTCGATTTTTTTCACAGGAAAAATTAGATGCCCGAATGGTATTTGACAAGACTATTTCATGAGTAACAGTTAACAATTAAAATATAAATTGCAATTTTTGGTGACAACAGCTGTCAAGTTTTGCCGCGGGTAAACTCGAAAAAACTGCTGACAGGTGCTGTCACACAGTTTTTTCACCTAGAAACCATTTGTAATTCAAAATTGCGCGTTAGTGATTGGTGGAAATTAAGACAAGGGAAATAGTCGAAAAAATTTCCTTAAAGACCTTTTATTTAATAATAAAAAACGCTCGAAAAAAAACTTTTATAGGGAATTTTTTTTTAAGTAAATAAAAAATATACTGTGAAAGACCGTATTTTTGTTAGTATACCCTGAAAATTTTGTACAAATCAAACAAACAGTAACGAAACTACAGCGCTTCAAAGTCGTCAGAAATGACCAGTTTTCAGCAAAATAATCAAAAAGGGGTCATTTTTACCGACTTTGAAGCGATGTATCTTCGTTACTGTTTGTTTGATTTGTACAGGGTATACTAACAAAAATACGGTCTTTAACAGCATATTTTTTAATTAGTTAAAAAAAATCCCTAAAAGTTATTTTTCGAACGTTTTTTTATTATTAAATAAAAGGGCTTTAAAAATATTTTCTCGAAAAACCCTCGAACACGTAAACTGAGATATAAGTTGAAGTATTTTTATACAAAATTTGATAAAGATTGGTGAAGGCGTTTTAGAGTTATAATTTTTTTACTTATTATGCGTTAATTTTGACGCGCAGTGAATATATATATTTACAAATAAGTTTACTTGATTTTTTGGGTAGATTGTCCTCTATAACAAAGAAAACCAGGTTTTCTTTGCCATTATTAATTTATTTTATTAGCAATTGCCTCAATTTTGACCGTATCAATTAAACCTTTCTACTAAATTCTTTAGCGGTATTTTGTCTGTAATAAGAGTTCTAAAATTTGTAAAATTAAAAATGCACCTACTTACTCATTTAAATTTAACAACCATTAGGTATTATTATTATTTTTTATGTGGTATAACACACTATTAAAACTATATATATATAAACTATTCATATGAATTACACCTGTCGTCATTTTTAAAATATGGCGTTAAGCAAAGGATAATTGAATCGGTGAGATCAAGAACAGTACAAGTACAAAATTTAAATTGTTTACAAGTTATTTTATAAAATCATTATTTAGTTTGAAATGCATTTTTTTGTGAGTATTTTAACTATTTTATAAAATATAATAATCATATTTTGTACAATAGTTGAAACATTCTTACAAAAATTCATTTTAAACTAATTTAAAAAATAATTTTATAATAATTTGTCATAATTTTAAATTTTGGACTTGTACTGTTCTTGAACTACCGATTTAAATAAAGGTTCATGTAATTTTTATATACAGAAATCTTTTGGCACTTTTTTAAAGTCCTATTAACTTCATACTGGAAATTGCCATATATGGTAAAATAAACAAATATTAGAAAAAAAAGGGCCATTATTACGACGGCCTTTTATCAAAATTAATATTTTTATTTAAACACCTGTAAAGGCCCAGTACAAGGAAAGCTTTGGGTAAAAATGCCATCATTAAGCCATGAAACTATGTTATAGGCCATTACATAATCAGACTTGTGTGTTTGCTGGAAAAAAATACGAAATATTTGGTTAAAATGTGCTGTTATATTTTATACATTCTTTTAGAGCGTTGAAGATGTAGAAAATGGTCAAATAGTAACATTCAAGGAAACTGTACCTATGTCCACTTATTTGGTATGTTTCATAGTGTCCGATTTTCAAAGTACTGACACAACATTCGACAATAATGGAACACCAATACCTTTCCGAGTTTTTGCAACTCCACAGCAGCTTAGTAAAACGACATATGCTGGAGAAGTCGGTAAAAAAGTTATCGAGTATTATGTCTCATACTTTGGAATACCATATCCTCTACCCAAACTAGGTGAGAATAGAATAATTGTATGCCTTTTCTGTCCTTATAACATAAAAACTGTGGATTTTTTTATTTTTTTTTAGATATGGTAGCAATTCCAGATTTTGTATCTGGTGCCATGGAACATTGGGGCTTAGTTACTTACAGAGAAACTGCTTTACTGTATACCGAAAAAACTCATTCCCAAGCAAATAAACAAAGAGTTGCAACTGTCATTGCTCATGAGTTGGCCCATTCATGGTTTGGAAATTTAGGTATAGTATATTTCATTTCATATTTCAATATATAAAGTTTTTATTTTAAATTTTTTAATGTTTTTTCAGTAACAATGAACTGGTGGAGCGATCTGTGGCTAAATGAAGGATTTGCTTCATATATTGAATACAAAGGAGTTGATCATGTGCATCCTGATTGGGGAATGGTAATTTTTTGTTATTAATTTACATTGTAAATAAAACTGAAATGATTTTTTCTACTGGAAGTTTGTTTGTTTTTTTTAGTTGGACCAATTTTTGGTGGATGATTTACATGCAGTATTATCTCTTGATGCAACTCTTGGATCTCATCCAATCATAGTGAAAGTAGAAACCCCAGACCAAATTACTGAAGTTTTTGATACAATTTCGTACAACAAGGTAAATATAATTTATATTTATTTTGGTTAAAATTAAAAAAGTGTCGTATCTTTAATGTGTCAACAAATTTTAGTGGCAGATAAGATAATTTTCACGAGATAGGTACATAATTTATAATTATATTAATTATTTATTGAAATCGTCTGTTTTTAAACACTTTTTTCTACTTTAACCTTTAAAGCACATCACACATGTTTCCATGACAAGGTATGACTTTCTGGCGTTTTAGTCACGGGCTTAAGTTAGCTTTAAGTTAGTTGACAAGGTTTACCTACAGAGGAAACTAATAAATTATTAAAAAATCGCACAAATAATTATAAAATATAAATAAAAAACATTTAACAAATAATTAAACAGTCGTCAATATGAAGCGACTATAATGACCTTAAGAAAGTTAGGTTATGACCGTCTGGCAGATGTTAGATTATACAGGGTGTTTCTTTTAACTTGAGACAGCTCAATATCTCGAGAAATATGCATTTTACGGAAAAATGTCTTAAATAAAAGGTTAATGTGACCAAAGGGGACATTATTTGGTGCTACCGCTAGCCACCCCCTACCCCTCCTTAAGGGTGAAACGGGGGGTAACTTTGGAAAGTCAAAAGGGATGACCCGATTTTGGTAGTACATAAAAAAATGAATAACTTTTATTTGAAAGTTTTTTTCAATTTATCAACAGATGGCGCTGTAATTCAAAATTTAAGAAAAAGGGGTTTCCTTGTAAAATGTATTATTTGAAACGTTTGAAAAACAAAAATTAACATTAAATCAACAATATTCGGCTCTGAAAACAATTTATAACAAATGTTCGAAATGTCGTCCTTCCATTTCGACACCAAGTGGGCACCAGCGTCCCTGGTCGGTAAACGTTTGGTGCGGTACCTTAAGCGAACAATTAATCGGACCCTTCTTTATTGACGGTGCATTAAATGGCGAAAAGTACCGGAATTTTCTAGAAAACGATCTGACGGACCTTTTGGAGGATGTACCACTAGCACGGCTCCAAAACATGTGGTACCAGCAAGATGGTTGTCCTGCACATTATTCGGCAATTGCTCGAGAGGTGTTGGATCGGGAGTTCAATGGCCGGTGCACCGCGGTGGATCGGTAGACGTGGTCCAGTAATTTGGCCTGCTCGATCACCTGATCTTACGCCACCAGACTTCTTCCAGTGGGGTTACTTGAAAGAAAAAGTTTACGCTGCAATTTCTACAACTTGGGAGGACATGGTGGAGCGGATCAGGAACGCCTGTGCGGCGATACCGCCCGATATGTTGACGCGTTGTGTGCCAGAATTCATTACCCGCATTCAAAAATGTGTTGAAATGGAATGACGACATTTCGAACATTTGTTATAAATTGTTTTCATAGCCGAATATTGTTGTTAATGTTAATTTTTGTTTTTCAAACGTTTCAAATAATACATTTTACAAGGAAACTCATTTTTCTTAAATTTTGAATTACAGCGCCATCTGTTGATAAATTGAAAAAAGTTTTAAATAAAAGTTATTTATTTTTTTATGTACTACCAAACTCTGTGAAAAAAATCGGGTCATTCCATTTGACTTTCCAAAGTTACCCCCCGTTTCACACTTAAGGAGGGGTAGGGGGTGGCTAGCGGTAGCACCAAATAATGTCCCCTTTAGTCACATTAACCTTTTATTTAAGACATTTTTCCGTGAAATGCGTATTTCTCGAGATATTGAGCTGTCTCAAGTTAAAAGAAACACCCTGTATTTATTAATTATTTTTACTGATTGTTTAATAATTATTTAATTTTTGTGTGTTGTCTTTGAAAAAATATACGTTTTATAAACTTCTCTAGACACTCATTTATCAACACTCGCTACGCTCGTGCCTAATCGAAACTCGTGACTAAAATGCCGTGTATCAAACTTGTTGCATAATATACCTCCTAATAAATAGTATATTATGTATCAAGTTTTATAAACGCCATTTTAGTTACGAGTTTAATTAAGCACGAGCGAAGCTTGTGAGCGAGTGTTTAATAAAAACGAGTGTCTAGAGAAGTTTATAAACGAGTTGCATACTATACTTTATCTACAACGAACACAAAACAGGATATAAAGCCAATTAATCTGTCAACTATCACCCGAATTTAACCTCACTTTTCTCAATTTATAATAAAGCCGTGACTAAAACGCCATAAAGTCACAGCTCGTCAATGTAGGAGTAGATAAACATTTTTTCTACTCCCACCTTTAAAATGCCCATTATCGTACATGTTTCCATGACACTAAGTGACCTTTTAAATACATATTGACAAGTTGTGGCTAGTCACGGGCTGAAGTTAGCAACATGTTTTTAGTCACGGGCTGAAATTAGTTACAAGTTAGTTGACAGTTGTCAAATGTCACACAATCGTTAAAATAAAGTGCTGTTCTTGTAAAATAATACTAAATGTGTAAATTATTTTATTATCTTAATAAAAAAATACAAAAGTATTAAATAGTTTCTTGACGCCAATATTTGAAAAGATTATATAAACGTTTGTACTGACCTTTTAATTCCGCCGTAGTAGTGCAGTTAACTAAAAATTCTAACGGGAATTCCAATAACTTTTTGTAACTTTAACATTTCCCGTGTAAGAATTTTTAATACTTACTTTGTATTATAGTAATAAAAATATCAAAGGATAAAATATTTTCTTAACATAATCATATTTTTAAGTTATTTTAATATTTTAAAGTACCTATCAATAATTGTTAAGTTTAATTAAAATAATAACGGGCAATGTTAATGGTAAAAATTACTTCAAAAATGTTTATTTGGATGGTTACTTTATTTTCCTATAGATGTCGCTTTATACAACTATTTAATTTAAATCATTTTTTAGATAATATTATTTAAGTATGTGTCATAGAAAAAGTGTAGTATGCAACTCATTTATAAACTTTTCTAGGCTAATAGGATAAAGTATTTTCTTAACATAATCATATTTTTAAGTTATTTTAATATTTTAAAGTACCTATCAATAATTGTTAAGTTTAATTAAAATAATATTGGGCAATGTTAATGGTGAAAATTACTTAAAAAATGTTTATTTGGATGGTTACTTTATTTTCCTATAGATGTCGCTTTATACAACTATTTAATTTAAATCATTTTTTAGATAATATTATTTAAGTATGTGTCGTAGAAAAAGTGTAGTATGCAACTCATTTATAAACTTTTCTAGGGTAATTTAAATTAAATTCGTGACTAAAATGGCATTTATCAAACTTGATACATAACATACTATTATAAAACTTTACATTTTTAGGACTTAATATTGGGTACTTAATGTACCCAATATAATTTTTTATCGGTGATTTTTCGAATGAATCGTACATTCGAAAAACCTAACTAATACTTGTGACGTCACAACGGAAAATTCTGATTTTATATAATTGTTAATTATATTTTTTCAGGGTGCTTCTGTACTCAGGATGTTGGAGAACACCGTAACTGCTAGTATTTTCGAAAAAGGCGTTAAAAACTACTTAAATAAGCATAAATTCGGCAACGCTGTCACCCAAGATTTGTTGGACGAGTTGGAAACACTTGTTGGTGAAAAATTAAATGTAACAGAATTTGTGAATACTTTTACCATTCAAATGGGCTATCCAATACTGAATGTAACTGTTGAGGGTGATAAATATACTTTCAAACAGAAACGGTTTTTGAAAGACGAAAGTATGGTTGATAAAACAAACACTCCCTACAAGTAAGTACATAGATATATATATATATACAGGGTGAAATAAGCATTGTGACATAATTGTTGATCAATTTGAGGCAAAGACATATTTTATTCTTTCTAAAAAAGAAAATTTACTCTTTAAATAATTTTTAGGCATTTTTTGTTTGGTAAATTTTTATTTTTTTAAAGATTTAAAAAAGATTCTTTGAAAATAGCATCCATTTGGTTTGAAAAAGATAAGCCTTAATCACGAAACTTTTTCTTCTTTCAATTAATAGTCCTGGACAATATATACATTATAATTATTATTAAGCCACTACAAGTATTAACGTCCAGTGGCTTTAACAAAATACCCATTCACCATTGGAGTCCAATGATTGGACAACATTCACGTGTGTTCACATAAAATTTTAATTTCTTTTATATAAATTCTTTTCAAATCGAAGATAGGAATACTTTGTCTCTCCTGGGCCGTAGTCACCTATATTTAACTACTTTTTTATATGATTTTACTCATCTACGCCCCACCAAAGCCAAATTAATTGCATTTTTAGCTACGAATTTTGACAACTCAACTTGACAACATGTAATCTACAATAATTTAAACATATCCACAATTACATTATAATTTCATGTATAACTAGTTTAGTTTGTTTTAATCAATGCAACCAATTTTGGTTTCGTATTTACCAACCAAACCCCTAAATTTGCAATGTTGCCGCAGTCCAGATAAAAAAATTAATTTTATTTTTTAAGCATTTAACGACATTTTTACGTATTTAACTGTTTGAAACAGTTTTTGCACATTATTAAGACATTTTTAAGTAAAACACATTTAATGTCATTAATAACAAAAACTTTAATACTCTGTATCTGAAATATCTTCTTTGTATAATTTCTTATATTTTTAGTTACAAATGGACAGTTCCAATAACTTATGTAACAGATCAGGGAAAATCTACTGAATATATTCTATTTAAACATACTGATGACAGTGGTAAGTTATTTGTTATACTTTTAAGTATTACTTAAGCTATTTTTAAACCCGGCAACACATGAACAGCTTTTTTAAATTCACAATTAACACGGTTTTTAATAAAATTAATTGTGTTACCCCAAGATCCTAAAAATTATAAAAACATTGTTTTTAATTTGGTATTAAGGTTAAATTTTCTTTGAGATTAAATCGACTTTAAAAGAAAACAAATGTAAATTTATTTTATTATCTCAATACAAAAATACAAAAGTATTAAATAGTTTCTTGAAGCCAATTTTTGAAAAGATTATATGAACGTTTGTACCGTTTTTCGGAAGTAATTAAATAACTTTCTTATTATAAATAAATATTGAAAAAAATTTAAACGTGTTTGTTTAAGGCGTTTTTAACAAATTACCAAACTTTTTAAGAATGTTTTTTGCGGAGAGGATAGTAATTATAACTCTATAATTGGTAAATCGGTCTGAATAAAATTTGTAGAGTGGTTTAATGTTGAAATGACCCATTTACATTTTTTAGTCACCATTACCAAACCCGCTACCGCAAAATGGATAAAATTCAACTACGACCAAGTCGGTTATTACAGAGTAAACTATCCAAAAACCGAATGGAATAATTTGATCAACGTCTACACAAGCCTAAGTGTAGCCGATAGAACTCATTTGCTGGAAGAGTCGTTCAGTGTTGCTGAAGCTGGACAGCTCAGCTACGAAATTCCGTTGAGTTTAACGCAAAAACTTACTGAAGAAGTGGATTATGTACCGTGGAATGTCGCTGCTTCAATGTTGAAAAAAATCAAAGGATTCTTGAAGGGTGAAGTCGAAACTAACTTTAAGGTAGGACATTCTTACCATGTAATTCGAACTTCTTGAATAGATAGATGTTTTTCTTAGAAATACATCCAAAGGATTACAAACAATGCCTATAGTAAGTTGACCTGGACTGAAAATGTAGACGATGGTCATCTGAAGAGACTTGCAAGAGTGGTGGTCCTTAATTTAGCTTGCAGTGTGGATCACGAGGAATGCTTGGCTGCAGCTACGGAAAAGTTCAACGAATGGATTCAAAATATTGAAACGGTTTCTTTATCTCAAGATTTGAGAGGCCTTATTTATCAATTCGGTAACGTATATTAAATGTATTATTATTATTATTATGTATTTTAAATGCATCTTTCTGAAAACAACATTATCTGCAGTATCCCAAATAGCACAACTGGTTTTATTAATTAATAAAAGAAACCTATTCAGGGTTCCCACGCGTCCTGGAAAACCTGGAATTTTATAATTAAAGATATTTTCCTTTGATTTTTTTAAGGAACCTGGAATTACAAACAACAAAATTTTTTTTAGTCATAGATTATAAACCCAGATTTCCGTAAAAAAAAACAATATTTAAAGGTGGTAATTGCAGTACGATTGGAAGATTAATAGTTTGCAGGTACATTTTAATATTTATGCAATATTGTTTTCGGTTTAATTAGTTTATTAAACTCTTTTAAAGCCGCTAGTGATGTTGACAACATTTAAAACCATTAAGCATGGAATGGTTTTAACCTTTAACTACATTAGAGTGTCTCAAAAAACTGACTATTTTTTTTCAAAGAACATTAAAAAATCATCAGAGCATCTCTGGAAAACGGCCCTATGAAAATATGAGCTTTTAATATAAATATTTAGAGGTGGCTTTTTGTAATTTTCTATTTCCCATTTAAATAACATGGGAATTTTTTTTTCAAACTTTGGAATTTTGTAACGTGATAACGAGCTTCTTCATAAGTAAGTCAAAATTAGAAAATTTAATGCTCTACAAAAAAGTTCTGATTGACATTTTGCTTAAGTCAAGCCGGTTCAAAGATATCGAGCCTCAAACTTCAGACTGTTTAAAATTATGCTTTTTTTTCTTAAATATAAAAATCAAATTATATGTATTAAAAACCCAAAATTATTAACTTGAGAATAAATATGTGAATATATTTGATGGAATGCAGATCCATAATTCTTAATAATTTGACAAATGATAATTTTTATTGATTTTTAGCGAAAAATATTTACTTACCTAAAAAATATGGTAGAAGTTTATTAATGTGTTGAATAAAAGCTTCCAATGGATTAACTTAATTAATGATAACGTTAATCTTAATGTTAATGTTAACTTAATGTTAATTTGTGCTGTTGTGTGTAAAACTTCTCAAATAAAAATAAATAAACGTTTATAAATTCCATTTAAACAATAACCCTATTACGAGCCCTAACCACATAATGTTCGGACACTTCATAATTTATACAGAAATTTTTTTCGTGAATACTATCTCAAAATTATTAGAAGTTATGAAAAATTCAGCTTATTTTGGCATATACCCCTCGAAGCGATTTTTATTTTTAAAAAGTTTACCTTTTATTTTTAGCTTTTAAAAAAAGGCTAACTTTTTAACTTTTTTTTGCATGAGTAAAAAAAGTTATAAATGGGCCCATTAAAAAGAGCATAAAATATTATACAAACCCTGAAAATTTGGTAAAAAATAAATAAGTTATAAAAAAGTATAAGTAATTTAAAAATGCTATTTTTAAAGAGTTTTTGCAATTTTCTTAGGAAACGGGAGATTTTGCAGATATATATATATCGCTATAACTTTCTTATTATTTATACAATTTTTACCAAATTTTCAGGGTTTGTATAATATTTTATGTTCTTTTTAATGGGCCCATTTATAACTTTTTTTACTCATGCAAAAAAAAGTTAAAAAGTTAGCCTTTTTTTAAAAGCTAAAAATAAAAGGTAAACTTTTTAAAAATAAAAATCGCTTCGAGGGGTATATGCCAAAATAAGCTGAATTTTTCATAACTTCTAATAATTTTGAGATAGTATTCACGAAAAAAATTTCTGTATAAATTATGAAGTGTCCGAACATTATGTGGTTAGGGCTCGTATAATCTTAAATTTAAAAATTTCTGTATTCTTCAAATTTAATTTTTTAAGGCCTAGGATTATAGTCCTCGTATTTTTCCCTTAAGGATAGATAAATAGAAGTTAATAATAAAAAAATCACATTTTCATACATTCAGAAACCAGTTTTATTATAAAATAAAAATGATTTACCTAAACACTTAATTTTTACAGATTGCGAGTTCTTTCTATTAATATAGCAAAGTTCAAAAAATTAACTTATATATAGTAGTATTAATTTCCCAAAATCCCAAATTGGAACCATATACTGGAAAAAAATCCTGGATACCTGTAGTTAAGGGTTAAATGAACTCAAATTTTTGGTGAGAAAGTTTGTTTTTAATAAAATTAAATTTTTAAAATTAAAAAATGTCCTTGATTTTTTTTAAATGTCATGGAATTGTCCTGGAAAAAACTTTGAAAAAATTAATGGAAAGTTTGTGGGAACTCTGCTATTAGTAATATTACTAACTATAGTTAAATAGTTGGTTAATTTATAGTCAATTTAAACTATTGAATGACCTATAGGTAAATTAAGGTTATTTCAAATTGACGAAAAGAAAAAATAGGGAATTTTTTTTAAATTTTTATTTACTAGATTTCTTTTTTTTTAAAGCGCATTTAAAATATAAACGTATTATGTACTAATTCATTAGAAAAAAAATGTCCCATTGGTTTCTCAGTCATATATAAAGATATACATAACCATATTTGCTAAATTATAATTATATAGAGTTAAAATAAACTTATTACCGGTTAATTATAATTTAAGTTGACTTAAGAGTTAAGTAGTTAAAAAGGGTAAAATAATTTTTCTAAGGCATTTGACACTGTAAACCATGAAATTCTTTTAGCAAAAATTAAGGCATTAGGTGTTACAGGAAATTTTTATCTATGGCTAAAAAGTTACTTACAATCTAGAATTCAAACTGTTATAGTTCAGAATCAGTATAAGTCTAGAACAATTAGGGTTACCTCTGGTGTCCCACAGGGTGGGCATATTTCTCCCCTGCTATTCAATTTATTTATTAATGATATAGGTTGTGATATTAAATATTGCAAATTTTTATTATTTGCAGACAATCTAAAATTTTATAAAGAAATTAGGTCTTTTGAGGATCGCTGTGATATTCAGTTAGATCTAAATCAAATACAATTGTGGTGTGAAAAAAATTTTATGAACCTAAATGTTAATAAGTGTAAATATATTAGTTTTTATAGAATTCAAAAAAATATTTCCTTTCCGTACTTTTTAAGTAATATTTTTTTAGAAAGAGTCACTAATATAAAAGATTTAGGTGTTTATTTTGATAGTAAACTAACATTCTCCTATCACATTAATTTTATTGTTTATAAATTATTAAAGATGTTGGGATTTGTCAAACGAAGTCTTAAAGATTTTAATAATATTCAATGCTTAAAAAATGTTTATATGTCCTTCGTGCGCAGTATCTTAGTCTAAGATTCTTAGAGTATTGTTGTATTGTTTGGTCACCTTTTTATGTTAACCATAATATTAAACTAGAAAGAGTACAAAATAAATTTTTGCGATATTGCGCATACAAACACTGAATGTACTTATTCTTTAGATTTAGTTAGAAGTGTTGCCAATTTAGATAAACTAAGTAAGAGAAGAACTGAATTTGGAATTGTATTTTTATATAAACTTTTAAATAATTTTATTAATTGTCCAGAATTGTTAGAGCAAATAAATTTTAATGTTTCTTTAAAAAATACAAGGCAACATCATTTATTTTATATAAAGACCCATAGGACCACTTATAGTAAATTTATGCCTTTAAGTAGAATCTGTTCTGAAGCAAACGATTTAAATTTAAACTACCAAATATTACCTTCTTTTTAACCAAAAGTTAAATTAATCAAGAAGTTAAATTTAACTAAAATAACGTTAATTTTACCATAATTAAATTTCCTACTTATTTTAAAATAACCTTAATTTAAGGTTAATTTAACTTTGTAGTACAATATTACTTAAATAAATTAACCAGGCATAACGTAAATTAAACGTTAATTTAACCAGTTGTGCTACTTGTTTTATATAAATATATAGGCAATCAAAGGTCACATGTTATGTTAGTTGTTTACATGAAAGTTTTGTTATAAAACTAAGATTGGCACCTCATAATTTAATACCATATTTTGGGATTATAGTTTAAAATTATTTTTTAGGAATGAAGACTGCAAATGAAAGTACTTGGAATAAAATGGCTGATGTTTATGTTAAGGAAAGCGATGCCAACGAAAAATTAAAGATTCTTAAGGGTTTAGCTTCCGTTAACAAGGAAGACTTACTTAAGAAGTATTCATATAAAATATAAATAATATATTTTTTAATTTATATATATTTTTTTAGTTTATTAACAAAAGGAGAAGATGAAAGCTTTGTGAGAAGTCAAGATTACTTTTCGCTATTGGCTTACATTTCAGCCAATCCGCTTGGAGAGTCACTTGTTTGGGATTACGTTAGGTAACAAGTGCCAAACAAAAATATAAAAAAAATAATTTTTTTTTGCAGAACTAATTGGGAAAAATTGGTCCAAAGATTCACCCTAAACGACAGAAATTTCGGTAGAATGGTTGGAACCATTACAAGCGATTTTAGTACTGAAGAAAGACTTAAAGAGGTAAGAGAAAATTTGTTGCCACAAATAACATAAAAGTAGGCATTTTATTATTAACAAGTTTGCTGAACAAATATTTTATCTTAGTTTTATAAGTAGTAAAATATGTTGAAATAAAAATATTTTTTTAGATGCAAGACTTTTTTGCCAAATACCCCAATGCAGGCGCTGGGGCATCAGCTAGAGTACAGGCACTAGAAAAAGTCAACAACAATATCAAATGGAAAAACGCTTACCAAAAGAACATCGAAGATTGGATAACAACAAATGCACCAAAAAAATTGTAAAATAATTAAAATCAGGATGTTTTTACGAAGTGTTTTGTAAATAAACAAAAATATTTTCAAACCAAATTAATCTTTTTTATCAATAAATATGGCAAATGCGCCAAATTTGGTGGATGCGCTACATCATTTATTAAAATTTTGCCTTTTTGACTATACACCACTCGTTTTTAGAATAAAAATAATTATATTTTGTAAAATAGTCCAAAAATGAATTTTTGAAGTATCTTTTTTATTTGAAGAGCTACAAGGTTGGTTAAATTAAACAAAAGTCGCGTAACTAAAAGTCTTTTAAAATGGCATTAAAAAACTTGTAAAAAAATTGCGGTTCTCAAATAATTAAAAAAACCTGTCAAAATCAAAAATCGTTTTGAATTTTGAAAAAGTAAGTTTTACATGTAACCATACACATTTATCCACATTTTTATCCCATGTGTGCCTGCTAGACTTTGAGATACCACTAGAGTTTTTAAGTGTCGAAAAAAACGGAAAAATTGTGGAAAGCTTTTTTGGAAAATAAATACAGCAAACGACTTTTAATTAAAAAAAATATCCTAATTATAGTAATATATATAATTACATAATATACAGGGTGTTTCTTTTAACTTGAGACAGCTCAATATCTCGAGAAATACGCATTTCACGGAAAAATGTCTTAAATAAAAGGTTAATGTGACTAAAGGGGACATTATTTGGTGCTACCGCTAGCCACCCCCTACCCCTCCTTAAGGGTGAAACGGGGGGGTAACTTTGGAAAGTCAAATGGAATGACCCGATTTTTTTCACAGAGTTTGGAAGTACATAAAAAAATAAATAACTTTTATTTAAAACTTTTTTCAATTTATCAACAGATGGCGCTGTAATTCAAAATTTAAGAAAAATGAGTTTCCTTGTAAAATGTATTATTTGAAACGTTTGAAAAACAAAAATTAACATTAACAACAATAGTCGGCTATGAAAACAATTTATAACAAATGTTCGAAATGTCGTCATTCCATTTCAACACATTTTTGAATGCGGGTAATGAATTCTGGCACACAACGCGCCAACATATCGGGCGGTATCGCCGCACAGGCGTTCCTGATCCGCTCCACCATGTCCTCCCAAGTTGTAGGAATTGCAGCGTAAACTTTTTCTTTCAAGTAACCCCACTGGAAGAAGTCTGGTGGCGTAAGATCAGGTGATCGAGCAGGCCAAATTACTGGACCACGTCTACCGATCCACCGCGGTGCACCGGCCATTGAACTCCCGATCCAACACCTCTCGAGCAATTGCCGAATAATGTGCAGGACAACCATCTTGCTGGTACCACATGTTTTGGAGCCGTGCTAGTGGTACATCCTCCAAAAGGTCCGTCAGATCGTTTTCTAGAAAATTCCGGTACTTTTCGCCATTTAATGCACCGTCAATAAAGAAGGGTCCGATTAATCGTTCGCTTAAGGTACCGCAGAAAAAGTTTACCGACCAGGGACGCTGGTGCTCCACTTGGTGTCGAAATGGAAGGACGACATTTCGAACATTTGTTATAAATTGTTTTCAGAGCCGACTATTGTTGATTTAATGTTAATTTTTGTTTTTCAAACGTTTCAAATAATACATTTTACAAGGAAACCCCTTTTTCTTAAATTTTGAATTACAGCGCCATCTGTTGATAAATTGAAAAAACTTTCAAATAAAAGTTATTCATTTTTTATGTACTACCAAACTCTGTGAAAAAAATCGGGTCATTCCATTTGACTTTCCAAAGTTACCCCCCGTTTCACCCTTAAGGAGGGGTAGGGGGTGGCTAGCGGTAGCACCAAATAATGTCCCCTTTGGTCACATTAACCTTTTATTTAAGACATTTTTCCGTGAAATGCGTATTTCTCGAGATATTGAGCTGTCTCAAGTTAAAAGAAACACCCTGTATATTGGTTTAAAAGGTCACAATTATATGTTATAGGTACATTAATAATTAATATATGTATATTATATATTAATTAATTAATTAGTTAACCTTAAGGTTATAATTGGAATGTATAACCTATAATTGAGGAGCAATCAACCAAAACCAGATAAATCCATTTTGACTTCTTGAATGATTCATATTTCTTTTAGTCGGATAAATCAATTGGAAAAGTGAATTTCAAGATAAACTTATTATAATAATATATATATTATATACTAATATTAATATTAGTATATAATATAATAATTATTATATAATATTAATATTATGATCATCACGGTGCTGTTCTGAGAGGTGATTTTTGGACTTTCTGTGAAACCTAATTTTTTTTTATATTCTTGTTAATTAGGTCATAACTAAAATTTTAAGAGCAAAATAAAAAAAAATTGACGGTTTGAATTGTTTTAATTGGCTGTTTATTAAAAATATTATGCACTCTTTCAATTATCCAATTAAAACTAGCGATTTAATTTAAATATTTAATATTTGCATAACTAAAAAAAAGGTTTTTAAAATTTTTTTTATATATTTTACTGTTTTGTTGCAATAAACGTTTAAACTTTTAATCTAACCTTTGACGTATACATTTATGTTCCCTTAATTAATATATCCTTAAAGGGTGCCATGAAACTTAGATCTATTAAAAATTTATTTGACGTCATTTTCAGTATACGTATTCTATAATTTTTGTTTAGTTTTTAAAGTGTTTTTTATAAACAAAAATGAAAAATTGTAGTAAAAGTTACGAAGAAATTTATGAAATTTAACTAAGGACCGGTTTATTCATGTTTATTAAAGTTTATTTCATGTCTTGGCAATATCTAGTATCCAAAGAAATTATCCGTCAAATAAATCAAAAATGAATAAATCGGCCCTAAATAAAATGTGGCACCCTCAGAATTATTGTTTAATAAATGTATACTATACATTTAACCTTAAATTAAAACTTTAAACGTGTATTACAACAAAACAGTAAAAGATATAAAAAATGTATAGACCTTTTTTTAGAAAATTAACTAATCTTTAATCTGATTTAAAAAGTTATGATAATATTTAAATAAAATCGCAAGTTTTAATTGGATAATTGAAAGTGTGCATACATATTTTTAATAAACATCCAATTAAAACAAAATTAACCGTCAAATTTTTTTTATTTTGCTCTTAAAATTTTAGTTATGACCTAATTAACAAGAATATAAAAAAAAATTAGGTTTCACAGAAAGTCCAAAAATCACCTCTCAGAACAGCACCGTGTCATATCATATTATGATAACAAGTTTAGCTTGAAATAGATATTTCCAATGGATTTATCTGAACAAAAGAAATAGGAACCATTCAAAAAGTCGAAATGGATTTATCTGGTTTAGTCTGATTGCTTCTCAATTATGGCCTTTTAAACCAAGTTTTTGTGTATTTTTTTAAGATGTTAAAATAAATATTTCGACAGATTGAATTATTTTGAAAAATGAAATCCATATTCTAAAAGCGCATGCGCAAAAAATAAAAAGTTCACGCGTGATGGCAAATTGAGCATCAATTGAGGACTCATCTGTCGCGTTATATGAATTCACGCGTGAATTTAATTTTCACGCGTGAATTCGTAGTGAATTCATAGTGAATTCATTTTGCTATCTGGGATACAATTAGAGAAAAAAAACCTTAATTGATTTAATTTGATTTAAGAAAATAAAAGTAAACGTTAAATATACTGTCGGTTCAGTCTTTTTTGCAAAAAAGTCCATTGAAAATATCCAATTACAAAATAGTGATATAAAGTTAAATTACAAAATTATAATTTTATAAGTCGAAGTGTCCGAATATGTTTCTTTTGCGGAAAGGTAGAAAAAAATATAATCTTACGGAATTAAAATAAAAAAAAATAATTATATCCATTATAATATTTGATTATAATCAGCGTCGGAAATTCACTTTTTTCTCGATATCAGTGTACGAATATTATCCGTAAAAAATTGGAAATTTTCAGAAAAATTGACTTTTGCATTACATTACATTTTGATTAAGTGAAAAAAATGCAAATGTCAATTTTTTTGAAAATTTCTTGATTTTTATGTTTTTTATTTCTGAAAAAACCGGTTTTCATTTTTTCCGGAAATTTTAAAATCCTAGATACCATCACCATCTGTTGTTTTTCTAAAAAAAAACTTTTTCCTAATGGAATTTTATATGGCTAGATAGAAAAATCAAGAATCAACAATGTATCAAACTTTTAAAAGTAATTTTAATTGTAGTGGAATATAATGAATTTTAACTCTCTAGGCTGTAAAAATATAACCTGATTGGTCTAAATCATTTATTACGTTAAATTATAGACTGATTGAAGATAATATTATTTTGTTAAGTTACTATATATAGTATAAATATATATATTTTTTACAAAAACTTTTTTGGGCTGATTTAATAATTCCAAATGATTTTTTAAAAACTTTGAATATTATTAATATTATAATAATTTATTATACACGAGGATGAGGTTTGCGTCTCGGGTCGCCAGACGAGAGACTCAAATTATCCGAATAAATAATGCGCCTAATCTCGAGTGTTATACTATTATTATATTATTTATATTATTGTTATATTATACTTTTTTAACTCCAATAAGTAAAAAATTAAATGATTTTCAAAATTAAATAAATAAAATCTGACAACTGTCAAATGGTTAACCTCACTTTTTATCAAATTTAAATGTTTATCACTTCAGTTTTTAGTTTAAAAAAAATAGAAAAAGAATGTTTTTAATTGGGTATAAACAATACGTATAAACAAATTATTTTTAACAACAAAAACTTTAGAACTTTTGACAAAAAACATCAATATTTTTTCTGAGATAATATTTTTTAAAGATTTAATATAATTTTTTAAGGATTTTATTATTTTGCGACCACGCAAAATTAAGTGGTAATACCTAATTATAATTATTAGTTTTAATTATAATTTATTCCTTAATAATATTTAAAAAGGGTATTTTCGCCCACGCTATCACGCACTTAAGAAGCGAGTAAGAACCCTTAAAATCAATATCACCCCTTAGGTATACTCTTCTACCGCCAGGTGGCGATACAACTCCTGCATGCATACGTCAATTGTTTCGTAGAAAATCAACCCCGCCCGCCCCGATTTAAGAAAATACGCGTAAAAAAAATTGCGAG